TCTCGTCTTCCAGAGCGCGTTCGTTGCTTCCCGATACCGGGCTCATGTTTTCCGGAGGGGGCGTAAGGTCATCATCGTTGGCAGTGTCGTCATCATCCAACATGGGAGGCTTAACGCCATTGGTACTAGGCCTGTCCGTTGTTAGTACGAGCCAAAAGCATGAAGAAAATATATTGGGCGGGCTGAGATATGCTGAAACTCAAATCTTGTAGACGCACTGGCGACACAAAGACTTTCAGAGTCAAGGGATATGGAGACTCAGATGAGTTATGGCCTGATGACGACACCAAATGCCGCTCAACTCTGCAGGCGCCAAGAGTTGTGGGCGAGGCCGTACTGGCATGTGACTCGGCAAGAACAGCAACCAAGAAGTCACATTGTGACTTGAGCCAGCCAACCCGCAACTGAGTTGCGAGCACGATTGTCGGTGACTGACCTGGATGGCCCTGATGGCTCCCCTGGCGGACTCTCGTGGGTCTCATTCTTGACAACTGGGTTTAGGTTGGCTGAACCCTTGTCCCGGGATTGGCGCAGCATCATTGCACCAGGGTATATGGCTTGAGGGAATAGACAAAACAAAGGACAATATATTAATACAGGGAGCCAACAAAGGGAAAACAATGGGCATTGAGTTTTTGACAGACTCAAAGCTTGAGATGGTGTTTGGGTGGCGGGCTGACGACAGCTTGGGTTGAGGTGGTTGATTGATTGGAGGGGTTGTTGAATTAAGGGAGGGGTCGTGCTGGGTAGAGACGAGAGAGGCTGACGTTTGGCAGGATTTTTTTTTTTGGCAGCCTAAGGTAGCGTAGTGGCCTGGACTAAAAGTGGCCAAGAGGGGGAAGGAGCGACTCTCGAGGGTGAAGTTGCCGCATAGCCATGCCACTAAGCAAGGAGGGCAAAGAAGAGTGGGAGGCCAGATGAGGTTGCCAATGCAACTCGGTGGTTCCCAAGTCAAAGGACAAGCAAGGGCAGGTGAGATGAACCAGTGTATGACTTCACCACTGGTCCAAGCGTGGCGGTCGGCCTCCTTCAGCACAAGGGGGGAGGATGGAGGGAGGGAATAAAGCAACTTGAGAGAGGCAACTTGCCATCTGATGAAGCAAAACAGGGAACGGAAGAGAATCAAAAAGAGCAACTCACTCAGTTGTAGGAGTCTCGGCAACAGGAGTCTGCTGTTGCGGCTCTGAGGGGGCCACGGAGGGCTGCTTCGTCTCGACCTCGGTCGTCTCCATTGCAGTGCTGCTGGGCGCTGCTGGAGGCAGGCTGCGGTCGGGCGATGGAGGAGTGAGTTCCGCCAGAGTTTCTGAGGGGCGGCGCTCGTGCGGCCGCGATCAATTGCGATAAAGTCGTAGTTGGCTCTTGCAGAGCGATGAAGAGTCCGTCGTCAGCCCGTCTGCTGCGATGGAAGGCGCGGTTGTGGTGGTGAAGGTTGGTCGGTTGAGGCGTTGTTGAGCCGTGGACTGTGTGTAGGAGGCAAGGTGTGGTGGGTGTGAGTGAGTGAATGCGTGCGTGCGTGTGTGTGGTGTGTGGTATGTGGTGTGGTTTGGTTTGGTTTAGGGATTGGTATGATGTGGTGTGGGTTTGTGTAAAAAGGGCAAAAAGGCTACCTTTAGGGGGGAATGGCCGGTAGTCGTAGTCTGTTGGTGAATGACGGTTCGATTAGTCTTGCCTGGTCGGGGGGGACGCGGTTCGTGTTTGAGGCCAAGATTGAATGTGACCGGGGGAAGTGGAGACTTTGGGCTGGCGTTATTGTGTAATGGAGGATGTAAGAGGGCAAGGTAAGGCGAAGGGCGCGCTTCTGAGAGTGAGGTGTGTGGTGGAGGAGGAAGAAGAGGGAGAGTGAATGAGAGAGAGATGGGTTCAGGTTTGCCGTTGACCGTATTACGTCCAGGTTCCTGATTGAGAAAGCACCTCAGAGCAGCCAATGCCAAGCAAAAGGCGAGTCCAGTCAGTTCAGCCAGTTCAGGGCGAGAGGCGATGCGATGCGATGCGCTGGGCAGCGAGTCCCAGTTTTTTTTTTTGTTGCAATAAGGTAAAGTCTCCAGTCGCTGACACTCTAGTGACTGCTGCCACCCAGTCAAGGAATGGCGTCGAGACGAGACAGAGACTTGTCCGTCGACCTGCAGCAGGTGAGATGGACTTGGTCCAGTATTCGCATGTAACAATGTCGCAAGGTACCGACGCCGTATGTCGCAAAGCACGGACGCTGCTGACAATGGCGCGGCCTTAAGAGATAAACAAGCCCTCCGGCGCGCGGTAAACGAAATGAGGCCGTCTTCAGCGGAGCTAATTGCCGCTGCTGTTCCGCGGAACTGCCCAGTTGGCGATGGAGTCGAAAATGTCACGGAAGAGTTGGCGGAGTCAGAGAGTCCGTCCTGAGCTGAGCATGCGCAGGTTTGGTTTGCGTATGTGTGGTTGGTGTAAGAGGGAAAGTGTGAGTGCAGGAGACCGGGTGGTGGACGGCGCACATGTAGACTGGCTTTCACGTCTGTCTTGTGCTGTTCGTATGCAAACCCCAGCCAAGGGATACAGTAGTCTGGGCGGTAAGGTAGAGAAAAAAGTATAAGGCAGATAGATCCCGATTTGGGTTCAGTCCATCCAGTGTTGGGTAAGGGCAAGGCAAGCAGAGCAGCCCACGGGTTGACAGACGAATGTTTGTTACCTTACTTGGAGGGAAGGAAACAAAATTGGGGGCCCGTGTTCACAATAGAGATGTGAAAGGGACGGGATGGGATGGGGGAAAGTCTAGTGAATGTGAGCAATAAACCTAACTGCCTCTGCATCTGCCCGGGAATGCGAAGGAATGGGGAAAGCCCGAGAGTTCACACTGCACGGCATCAATCAACCGTCATTCAATTCGAGGAATTTTCTCATCACCACCGAGTCTAGTCTGTGTGGGCGCCCACCTCTGGCAGATAGAGAGGATAAGGTGAGGCAAGCAAGGCAAGGTACAGACAATCGTCCAAGGGTGAGAGACAGGTTTTAGTTCCCCCCAAGGGAGACGAGGCCAACCAGAGTTGCCATTCAACGCGATGCATTTCGGCCCTGGTTCCAGTTTAGTGACTCTGGCAGGCTAAAGGTACAAGAGTACTTACCATAGTACGGATGACACCAAGGCCCGGAGGTACTTCTGTTCTCACTAACCCACCAGCATGTACCGCCCAAGCTCCCTCCCCAACTTCTATCATGTGCATGGGTGCCACGACGGATGAGGTAGTCATTCCCACTGGTTGCCATTTCTTCTCATTTTCACTACGGCGTAAAGGCCCTTATGGTCATGGTCCCAGACCCAGCCAGCTGGATCGGATTGACAAGCCAGGTGCAGGCCACGTCTCGCCAGCCAACAAACGCATTTCTTGTCATTTCGGCCCACCCCTGCCTGTTTTTGCCCTCTGTTTCTCACTTCTCTCTCACCTGCTGCTTCTTGGCTGGACGTGAGGATCCGAACGGGGCAATCGCAATCAGTTCCTTACAACACGCAACAGGGCCCCTCTTGAGTCGACGGCAACTTTGCCCGGTTCAACGAAGCAATCGACGCAACTGCAACCGCAACCGCTGCGCCCTCAACAGCCGTGCCACACACACTCTCTCTCCAAAACAAAAATCTCACAACAACTGGATGGGTTGGTTCTGACTGCTTCTATTATTCACCATCATCGGTCGTTTCGCATCCGTTTTCGGGTTACGCCAATCTCGGCTTGAGCGGCCTACCAGAGAAAGGAAAGGAAAAAAACGCATCAGCTCCCATTTCCGTCCATTTGCCCACCCCGTGCCCCCCCTCCTACTCCTCACCCCTTTGCTTATCACCGATCGTGTCTGATGCCATGTAAGAAAAAAATTCGGCCATCGCCAAATCCAGGATCAGTGGGATAGGACTTTGGGAATTGCGATGACGAGTCCAACCTGGATCTTCGACCCAGGCCCCATGTCCCACGTTGTAACTAATAATATTATTACTTTATCGGTGGATCTCCGGTTCAGACGCTGCATCAGCGCATCTGCAACCGCATCATCGCCGGGGGTACCGGTTTGTTCTTTTACCCTCGGTCGAAAGAGAAAAAAAAAAGACACAGAAGAAACTGCACCCACCCCAGCTTCAAACTCACCGTAGCATTGCTAATAAGCATGTCATGCCAACCCTCTTTTTCTCGCCGAGCATGGTGAGTCGCTCGGCGCAACTCCCGTTCGTTGCTTGCTTCTCCCGCCGCCGCGCCCAACCTCCAACGCATTCAAAACAAACGGGAAAGGGGGGCGGGATCCCGCGCATCCTCTGTAGGCGGTTATTTCTTCATAAAAAAGCATTGTTAGCAAACGGGCGGATCTGCAATCCCTCAACTCGAAACGCAGCCAGCGACCATATCAAGAAACTCCCGAAACTAGGAAGCATGATGTAGTATGATCACTGATTGAATGCCCAACGGTCCATCGGCATTGTCTGCATTGTTCCCCCTTCATCTTCGGTCACGCAGCGTTGTGTCCACGGCCCGGTTACTGTCTTGGGTTCAAGTCAGCAACTGAGGCCGAGAATACATGCCGGAGGCAGGCTCCAAAAACTCCATCCCCCTTCCCTCCGCCAAGACCACTTGTTCCATCCTGTTTCTGTCCCTGTAAATTAGGCCTGTGCCAGGTGATTGACTGTGTCCCGCCGGCCTCTGCCGCCCCGCGCTTTCCGTGCAACACCGCAGAGGCCGGGAAGGCCCAAGTTTGACTCCAAAGTCTATGGGGGTTGCAGAGCGGCCTTTCAGGCCGCTATAGAAGCAACTCTATCCAGAGCGGTTTAATTTAGCGCATCAGAGGGCTTTACTGCGGCGAAACTCGAATTTGAAGGGCTTCTCTATTCGTTCCTGACACTGCCAGCCCGGTATTACAGCGAGCGCGCAGTAGCCGCAGGGCGCAGGCGGAGTGCCCCCGCCGGCCCACATCCGCACCCGCCCGACGTCGCTCTGACACCTCCGGCAGGGGCTCCCTTGATGGGCACCTCTATCATCACCGGAAAGCAAGGCAGCATGCCAGAGTGGTTAATGGGTAAGACTTGAATTAGTAATCAGTTCCTATCTTATGACTTCGGTCGCGCAGGTTCGAACCCTGCTGCTGTCGCATCACATTTTTTGCTGCTAAGAACAATTGTTTTGCATCCTAGTGCAACACGACTCGCTCCAACGTTTGTTCGTTCCAACACTTGATTGGGAATGCGACAGCTGCCTGAATGCTTGTACGATCAACAGGTTCACAATGTTTTTATTAACTTAGAAAAAAAGAGAAAAACGTCTGTCTCATTTGGTTTTGCAGCTTGCCTGTAAGTAATAATAGACCCGAAGCATAACTCTGCTAGTGGCGTGTCCCAACCAACCATCCACGCTAGAAACGAGATAACAGTTCTTCGGTGATAATGATGCGACGCCACATCTTACAGCCAGCAGAGCCATCTCGGACTCCCATGAAGCGGTGTGTGCTGGGAGCCTGTATTTCGATCATATGCGGACGCCGCTGATATGCCGTCGCACTGAGGCGGCGCAGCGACAAGGGATAGGCGACCGTACCCGACCCCGGCCAGGCTCTTCGATTCATCCATCTCACTGACTTAATTGCAGCCGCACAGCACGGTACCTTTTCGCGTTGACTTGTATTGTTCCAGAGTTGCAGACGCAAGAAACCTCGAGCGCAAGTACTGAGTACCCGGGCGGCAGAGAGCTCGTTCCCAACTTCCAACAGCAAGGGAAACTCAAAAATCAATCAAAACAAGCCCAGTCCCGTCTTGTCCACTGAGGAACTGCTGCACCAGAGAACCAACACACTCGCGTACCCTTGTCGCCGCCGATGTGAATCGTCACCTGAGGAGGGACTTTGGTGGTCTCGTCTCCACGGCTTCCGGTCCCCTTTTCCATGGCACGGAAGCTGATTAGATGCAACTCGATAGCAGCTCATCAGCAACTTGCCATTGCCTGCGTCACCCTCGTTGAACGTGTCATCCCATATCGAACGTTGCAGAGCGGACCACGGAGCATTCACTGTACGGTCCAAGGGCATAGAGCAGAAAGAGATGCCCGCATCCCCTCACCTGAAATCCAATCTCTCTCGCGCCAGTCATCAATCAACTTTTTTGACTAACCTGAACCCGGAAACTCGCGCCCAGAAACTCGCACCCTGGATTGGCTGCCAACCTAAACCAAAAAGGATACGATTGCGTGCCCTCTCGCACCCCTGCAGCCCAATTATTCTCTCCCAAATATTTTTTTTCCCTCATCCTGCTCTGCTCCTGCCAACTCCTCCCTTCGATCGCGCCTCATTTTCTTCTAGTGACTTTTTTTTTTCCATGTGACTGCGAACAGAAGTCCCCCCTCCCCACCCCGTCATGCAACCATGTTTGCTCTGAGAGGCTCTCGGCATGGGCTGTAACTGATTTGCTGTGCAGTGAACCAGCCCAGCCGTGCAATTCATTTATCCGCGCAATGTTCTCGTTTGTATGTGTGGCTTCAAAGTAAGATTGTATGCCGTCGAAACTTACGTATGCTTCCTTCCTGATTTGCGTCCCATCGCATCTGACACCCACCACCCACCCATCCAACCCAAGCACCCCCTGCAACTCGATGCGTTTTGACAGGCAGCGCGCATTCACACCCTACGGCACTTGGGACCCCTTCAGGAAAGTGGCAAGCAGGGCCGGCGGGATTGTTGGTTTAGCTTAGCTACAGAACACACAAGACATGATTCTTTTCCAGAGATCTGCTTGATTTAGATTGCGCAGACGGTTTGGCCAAGACTTGCTGCGCGCCGCGGCAGAACGCAGGTGAAACTTGTGATTTATGCCAAAATCACGCGATTTACGTGAGGAACTTTTTTCTGCTCGTCCAACACAATCCGATGCAACCAACCAAGCAACCCGAACACAACCTTGAGGGCGTTGAAGATCTTCGCTGCAGAATGCGTGTGTTGTGCCACTGTATTATGCAGGTAATATGTAGCCTGTGTAACGGAGGTCGACAACAATAGTCTTGATTTAGCCTAACGAGATATTTGACGAATGATTCTGCGCTGCGGCCGGCTCAGATCGCTTCCTGCCTGGGCAGTTGTCCCACGTGCGCAAACAAGTTGTCCTGAAAAAAAAGCAGACCGTCGAGAAGAGGCCAGCTTGCAGAGTTGAATCACGATGGCGTGCTTGAATTCGCCAATGACTCATTCTGGCTTGAGACAATATAGCAGTTGATGATTTGTGGTTCGGAGGGTTATCGAGTTGTTCAGACCCATGTGAATGATGAACTCTGTTGATCAGGACTATGTCAAAACTTTGAGGATGTTGCCACGACGCTCAAGACAAGTGTCTTTCACTGGTCTTGGATGAAGGATATTGAGGTTCTCATGTCATAACGTATCGTCATCTATCGTAGCAGATGCCCTTCTCCTTAAACTCAAAGCCGCGAGGCTGTCTAGACATAGCGCATAGTTCTACCATGCCATGGTATTGGGTATCTATTCCAGGCCGTCTGATGATCCATGCAGCCAATCCGTCTTTTCTCCCGTTCGTCTCCAGCCCGGAACCGGCTTCTTTACCGACCCCGACCCCGGCCCCGTCCTCGTCCCCGACCGCCGCGGCCGCCTCTTCCGCCCTTCCCACCACGGAACGCGCCCTTGTCGAAGCGCTCATACAGCTGCTCCTCCCCAAACGCCGCTTGTCCGAATCGCATAAAGTTGACCAGTCCGCGGTCGACCACGGCGATCAAGACGTTGCGGTGGCCGTGCCTCAGGCGCTGGTACATCCTTCCCGGGCCGGCCATCGCGACGGGGTCGGGCGGTTCGTACGGCGAGGCGCCCAGCAGCGCGGAAACCTCTTCGAAAGAGGGCACGGCGGTATCCCGTGCGTCCGCGACGGCGATGCGGATGTCGGGCGGCGGCAGGTCCGTCACGCGTATGTTGGGGTGCTTTGACGGCTTCCAGACGTGCCAGCACACCTTGAAAGGGTCCTCTGGCTCTTTCGTTTCCGACGGGGCCGTAGGCTTGTATCGCGACAAGAGCTCAAGCTGTTTGTAGATGTGGGTGTACTGGCGGTAAATGCCTGGTCGAACGAGGGGCCCGTACGGTGCGGGCTTGGCCGGGGCGCGGTCCAGCAATGAGACTAGCCACTGCCAGAGGGACTGTTTCGTTTGCTCCGGTTGAGTTTGCTGGGACATAGGGTCTCGTGGCGCACGTTGGACATGATATCCTAACCGCTTCAGGTGTGAGTAGACCTGATATTTCGGCAACGAGATCTTGCCCCTCTCGCCATCCATGCCGATAAAGAGTGAGTATGCGGCCTGGAGACTCAGAGGCAAGCCAACGTCGAACTCATCCTCGGATTCCGCCCCTTTTTCAGCATCTTCCTTTTGCTCCTCTACCAGCTTCACCTCTGGCGGTGGCAGAATGTCCTTCAGCTCGCGGAACGGCCACCAGAGGTCCAAGCTACCCCTCTCAACCAAAAACAGCGCCTCTTCGGGCAGGAGCCACAACTTTCCCACCGCCGGCCTCGGCGCCTTGAGTCCTCTGATCACACGTCCCGTGCTCTTCGCCTGAGGTCCCTTCAGCTCCTCGACAACGACGACTCTCTCCTCGGCATAAAGCGGTCTCGTCTCGGCCAAAAACTCCTTCAGGTACTCGGGCTTCGCAAGTCCAGACGTATCGCCCCGCTCCACAATGCCTTCGAGCGCCTCCGGCCAGTAGTCCGGGAAGTACCAGCCCTTGCTCCACGCATCGCGGTGCACGCGGGTGTAGCTCAAGACCTCCTCGATGACCTGCCGGCTCGCCTCGAGCTGGCTCTCTTGTGCCCTCGTACCATGTGACTCGAAATCTTTCTGGCCCTTGCGGATGGCCTGGGTCGCGACGCCCTTCTTGTTGAACATGGACGCGAAAAGGCGCATGTCGAAAATGCCCTCGTCTTCCGCTTCGTCGCCGGCGCCGGTCTCGTTATTCGGCTGGGCGACGGGCGCCACGGTCGGGTTGTCGTCGTCGTCGAGCGGCATTTTCGCGATGGTGATGTCCGAGTGCAATGTTTGGATCCCTCGAATTTGCCGTCGCCTAGCTCAGGGCATGGACTTTGCGATTGACCTTCCCTCCGTCTCCGTAACGGGTTGTGGGTGCGAATGTTCTTTGCACTGGGGTGTGAGTCTTCGTCGATGAACCCCTCCAGGTCGGAAAATTTTGGACCAGGCGCGGTTCAGGGAGCTTGGGCCAATGGAAATAAATTAGCGGGTAAGAAGCCGGAAGACCACTGTTAATTGAGCCTCCGCCAATTCATGCCCGGCATGTCATACTGCATGATAAAGGTGACCGGTCAGCGAAGCTGTCATTCTGTTCAGGCGATTCGGTCTTCGAAGGCTCTATTTTAGAGTTTCATTTATCAAGCTGCGTTGTGGAATGCTTCCCTGGCCATGGAGGGATTCGGGAACGTGCGTGATTCGGGTAATGGTGTCTCTAAGCACCTCAAGATCATACTCTCAGTGCATCGCAGCTTAATAAGATGACTGGAGATGATTGGGAATAAAGACCGTGACCCGATAGCTGGTATTCAAAATGATACGCTATACATAACGGAGATCACCAGCTAAGCGCCCAAGATGAATAGCGAATATTAGCAAAAAAAAGACTGTGTTGATGGAGACGAGATTCGAACTCGCGAGGTTTCCCACTGCGGGTTTGAGGTACCAGATGATAACCTACTGTAGAAGTTGTTAGTAATAGAATCGAACTCGAGCATCTTGAGGTGATACGTACAACACAGCGCCTTAACCACTCGGCCACTCCACCGGAGGTGTTTGTTGAGATACGGGTTCGATTTGAACATGAAGAAGGTTCGGGCAAGTGCGGGGGTTTGCGGGCAGGTCATCCGACCGCTGCGGGACGCTAGGCCGAGTGGGGAAGGCTCCAAGGGGCCGCTTCTATTCTCAGCGTCCAACCGCAACCCTTGTGACTTGGACCTATCATCCACAGCTGCGCTCTTGTATGAGCGATACACAAAAAACTTACTAACAAGAGTGCAGCTTGCGCGATTCCAGCAGTGCTTTGCCTGGTGTAGATTATTTTTTCTTTACTCGACAGTGTCCACCAAAGGGGCTAAGCACTCTCCTTCT